ATAAATTGCAATATTTTCGTAATTTCTTTTGTAACTAATTGTAATTACTTTTTTTTCTTTTTTAGTGAAATTGAACTTTGGCAAAACACATTTATACTTCCCATGGTTTCACACAGAAAGGCGAGTAGGTTGCATGCTCCCATAAACATCACGGTGCATTGCATCCGTACTGCGCTGCAGACAATGACTGCAAATGTCAGTCTCACCATTAGCATTGATCACGCTCAATCGCAACGGGGCAACCGTACCTCCTTCGATCACTCCTCGTAAGTACGAATTTTCAGAACGTGAGGCAGCGGATAAAGTCGTATGACGATGCAACACTTTGTGAAACATTTACAGACACGTAGTGCAACTTAAGCAGAAAAGATCATATTCAAAGGTCGAATTTCCGATTTCTTTCATGGATATACGCGTTCGCCCTCTATTCATCTGGCAATGCATTCAAAATGCCTCTTTAACTTGCCGGCGCCTGTATCTTCTTCTACGATCTTTGAAAATATATCGTGCACATTTTTAGATTTTAAGTTGATTATTATTTTTAAACGAATGGAGTGCTATCTCAAGAGCAGACGTAAGAACTAAAGTGCTTTACATAATGTATACAAAATTATTGTTAAGAACGAATAATTCATTCAATTGTACAAACAAATCTGGAAATTAAATTTTTTTGCAGCTAATAATAATTTAATAATGCGCATCAAAATATGTTATATTGATATAGAATAATAATATTACTGCAAGATAAAATTATAGAAGAAAGATTTTATACATAAAAATTCTTTTCGCGAGACATGGATTCGTAGAAGTTCTCATGGTATCCTATGATTGTTACCAGAAACCAGAAAAATATTCACATGGAATTAGAGTTCGCGTCTTTTTCATCGTACCCGTTAAAGGTCGAGAGCGTTATGTCAGTTGGCTTCATCGATTATGTATCACATTGAGAAGCGCATTAATTCTTGAGAGCGCGGCTCTTTCCCAGCCAGCTCGTCTCGACAACCGTGTCGATTCACCTTGCACATCGCATAAATTGCAACCTAGAACTTCGTCATATTACGAACTGCATTTACAGCAGTATACATTATTATAAATATAATTATGATATAATTACGTTTTCCATTAATACACGGAATACAAAAGAAATATTAATTTTAGATAAAAGAGAAAGTTCGAAACGACCAAAATAGGTAAAAAAAAAAAAAAAAAACTTTCAATAATCTCATTACATTGAGCAACTTCATATAACTTGAACTTTTACTTCGATTTTTATTGAATATAAATTTTATTTTACGCACGTTGAAATAGACAAATGTAATCGCAAATTGCATATTACGTAAAATTTTGTTCATATGGTATGATATATGATACATATAGTACAATTATATTTATGATTAACTTCATATCTGTAAGATCATGACCTATGATCTTATAAATATATGAACGCTCTTATAACGAGCATAGTTAGCATTAGCGTATATAATCGCATCTATTTCGACGTTGCTTGAAATCCTCAGTATAATTACGTGTAACGCTATTGCATATGTAAGATGCATTATATTTGCGGATTATATATGCATGACATATGTATATATACAAAAAGTTCTTTATATTTTGATACATTTATTCCGTTTATTACGTATTTTTTCGTCTATTAATGATGCTTTAACACTTATAATCACAATTAATAATCATACATAAATATCTTTATTCTATGTGTATTATGAGAAATTTTTGATGAGATTACAAAATATCCTGTATACAGTCTCTAATCTTTGGGGTTAAGGCTCAGTTACCCTTCTCCTGAATGACTCAATCGCCCGATTAACCTATCCCGCCTGTGGTCACGCAATTTAGATTTGAAATCCAAGAAGCAAATTCTTTAAAGAAATTTGTTATTCTCATTCTTTCTTCATGAAAATTGAATTAATTTCCTGATTTGTTTAAAATCAATTCCTTACATGAATTAATGGAAAGGATATTTTTGTTTTAACAATGCAGTTATATAATGAATTCTATAAAACAAAAATAAATTTTTAAAAATACATGTAGTTATGCCAACAAAAATTTCTTTTAAAATGATAATCTAATTAAAATAATTTAATAAAATAAGATTACAAACAAAGTTTTAAAGGAAACGAATCTCGTAAAATTGTGCTAAAAATTATTAAATTATGATATACATTGAATATATTTGTCATTACATCGCGTTGTATGAATTTATTTCGTGGTGATCTCTAAAAATGTTTTTTTTTTCTTTAAACGGAATGTAAAAGGCTTCAAGTAATTTGTTTACGAGAATGTGTGATACCTGATATCTTCAGAAAACTAACTTTCGTCACCATTTACCTTCTGCATAGAGATGGAAATCGTAGACGGCGAACTTTACGCGAGAGAGAAATATTTTTCGAAGCTTCAGCGCCGAATGAACTCATTTTAACTTTTTCCCAGGGTTTCGTCCGTGGAAGTCATTCGATGAGACGACGTCGCTGAGGATGGGTGTGTCGGATGTAATCTTATGATGTGATCTTACAATGTACGAGATTCCATCGCAAACAAGCGCAATTTGAAAGGATAAACCGGGTCATACGTATATATAACGATTGCATATACAAGTAATTAACACGTGCAATAATGTTGAAAAATGTGAGAATTTACTGAGTTTATATATTTCTTTTTATATTTTATATTTGTGTTACTCAATCTTTTTTAAAGAGGAAAAAGACTTTTTTTAAAAAGTATGAAAAAGCTGCACGTAGCTTTTTATGATGAAGAAAAACATAAAAAATTCATATATTTCAACGATATACAGACGTACATATACAGAATGAAATATTTAAAAAGAGAAAAAATCTCTGTTACTTTAAAACAAAACGAAACGTATTTTTTAAAAGATAAAAATTTGGTAATGAAGAAATCACTAATAAAATAAAAACAAACTGAAATTTATATATATATATATATATATATATATAAAATTTCAGTTTATTTTTGATATTGAAGAACTATTATTATTTCAACAATTGTACACGACAAATTTGTACGCGTATATGTATGTATATATATAATATTATTATTGACAAATTTGTCAATAATAATATTTCTAGAAATAAAGGAAATATGTAGATGCTCTTTCAAATAATTCAATATCTAGAAATCAATAAATGAAAAAAATATTCAATATGTATATATAAACTTATATTAAAGAAAAATAGAAGTAAGAGAATAAAAAAAGAGAATTGAAATGTTTGATATACGAAACGCATAGAATTCTGAATCTTAAAAAATCGCAAGATAATTGAATAGAGTGTTCGATTACGTTCAATACTAGTCAGCAAATCTAGTACGTATTACTCAAACAAAGGAGACTGTTTCTGAAATTTCTAAGCCAATAGTTCCTGGCGAAGGTCATATAAAGGGTCCATGTCCAAAGGTGGGTGGGTGTGTCGGATGGTGACCTTCTTACACAATGAACGAGAGGCTAACATCGTCAACGGATATGATTTGAAGGGATCAGCGGGGGCGCGATCGGAGATCCTAGGAGGCGTATATAAAGTCCGTCGAAGTCGGCCTTAGGCACATTCAAGCAATCACCGGCCGGTACGATGAAGATCCTCGTAAGTATTCATCTCGACGGTCGGAAGTGCGCGCTCTTGTCTTTCTTTCTTTTGTTGCTCACGAAACAATCAACGTGCCGCAATCGGACCGTTGTTCTTTCAGCGGAACGATGGAGTGATATAAAGTGACAATCGCCTTGCGAATTCGTAGTTCATTTCTATCGAAGAATTGAGCAAACAGATTATGATAACTGAGTAATCTTATCTTAGCGGAAGCTCCACGATCGGCTCCCTGCTTGACATCATATAATGAAAATGTAGCTGTAAAGCTAAATTTTGTGGAACGTGTTTCCTCCCAAAATAAAGTCTCTATTGTTTAAAGTGGAGAAACATTTGGTGTAATATTGTATATTGACTTGAAAATTCTCAATCTTTATTATTGAACTTACCTTGAATTGAAATTCTTCATCTTTAGTTCATTTCGTTTGCCTTGTGCGCCATTGTTGCTGCGGCACCTCGTGAGCGACGAGAAGCTGTCTTGGGCGGCCATGGATTCTATGGAGGCCATGGAGCTTATGGTGGTCACGGAGGTGGTTACGGAGGATACGGAGGTGGTTACGGCGGTATAGGCGGCTATGGCGCACATGGAGTAGCTGTTACCGGACCATTCCTCGGAGCGGCAAGTGTTACGGGTCCACATGTGGGCGCCTCTGCTATTTCCGGTCCAGCGATAGGTCCGGCTCGTTTAGCTGGATCGATGGCTGGTCCTGCTCACGTATCTGGCGCCGTTGCTGGGCCAGCTGTCGTAACGGCATCGGTTGCTGGTCCAGCGCACGTGGAAGGTTATAGTGGTCCTTACGATGGTGCCTACGGAGGTGGTTATGCGGGTGGTGATTATGGAGGTGGTTATGGTAAGTAATATAATTGATTACAAAGTTTTATCATTTTTTTGAAAAACAAAAAGTTGAACTAATTGCAAGAAAAAGTTAGTTTAAAAATAGATAAGTAATCTAAATTAGAAAAATTATATGAAAACATGTGAAAATATATATCAAGAAATTTGATATAAATTACATTCAATAATTTGAAATAAGTTAATTTCAATAATCTGAAATAAATTTTACAGAGAATATTGTATACTATAATATTGTCATACAAGTAAATCATTTAAAATCATTTGCAGTTTATTCTTAAAAATTTTAGAACAATTTTAGAACATTACGTACTAAGTATGATTCCATTAATTTTTTTAATGTTTACCTTCTTTCCGTTATTTGCAGGGGGTTACGGAGGATACGGAGCTGGCCTTGCTTATGGAGGCTACGCAGGATATGCCGGCGGCCACGGAGGACACGGAGTAGTTGTTGCCGGACCAGCTACCCACGGCGCGGTTCTGGCCGGACCTCATTCCGGAAGCGCGGCTGTTTCTGGACCGCATGCCGGTTCGGTGGTAATTGCCGGTCCTTCCGGAAAGATCACGGCTCACGGAAGCGGTTACGGTGCCGGCATCCATGCTGGCCACGGCCACGGCCACTGGTAACACGCACACAATCGTCTGCAAAATGCAAAAGAAAATCATCTCTCTGAATCATCGTCGAGCTGAAAATAGAGATTATTATTCCCCTCGCGGTTTTCTAAGAGAGATTGAAAAAGTATTATGGAGATATAAAATTGCATATAACACGACGGCGCTCGTCGCACTTGATGCTCTCGGTTCATGGTGCGCGCATGGATACTTACATCTCGTTTGTATGAATGTGTGAATAAATTTATTCTTCTTTATAATAGAAATTATTTGTTAATGTAAAATAATCCAGAACAAATTATTTATATATAATATAATACCTGGTATAATTTAATTTTGACTTCTATTATCTAACAAACTTTGTAAATACAATTATTCATAAATGATAAAATTAGGTTGTACAATTATATAAAACATTATTTCGATAAATTTCTTCGAAATCTCTTGATGGAAAGTCGTACAGAAGCTCTGTGTATTAAATCAGGCCAATTATCTTAGACAAATTACAATTTCAATCTGATTAACTAATCGATTTAATCTTCTCTTTTATTAATCAAGCTTAAATTATTCATGATGAAAGCGATGGGTAATGCGGTACGATTATATCCGAATTAAAATCTGAGTAACCCTTTGCTACTTTGCTACTTTAGCATTACCGTTTAAACTTTACAGGCAAAAGTATACGGTAGCGCATTGCAGACTAACTCGTGCATGAAGAATGTATTTATATTTCAATGAAATATAATTTATATAGATTATAATATAAAAATAATAAGATTACTGAGACTGTTTTAACTTTATTTACTATCGCACCATTTGCACATTTATTTTACATTAATTTTAGTTAGATAATGCTCTAAAATTTTACATTATCATATAACTAATAACTATTGTAGTTTGTACAATTAACTAAAATCTGTAAAACATTATCTATGCACAGTACTACTATTTGAACGATTCGCGTTTAAAGTCTAAAACTCCTCACACTACTTATTCCGCACTTGCGTTTTATCTTATTGTGATTTTCGAATGCGAAATATGGAAATGGCGATACGTAACAATCGTTCGTATTTCATTACACTGAACATCGAAACGGCTGCACGTTTTACGTCGTGTATCGTTCAACCAGATCGTTATCGTTGGCACCGATTCGTAGCTCGATAATAGATCACTCGTGATGTCCATCGAGCACGCTCGCTGAACGCAAGGAGTCCACAGTCGGGCAAACTGACATAGATCCGGCGTAAACGCGTGTCTTAATGCAACGCGTAATGATCGTTGCGGTAAAGGGTAAGGTCATCACGAGCATGACTCGATGCGGACATGGTCCGTCACTCACAAGCTGAACATGAAAAGTCATGGTCAGAGAGAAAAACTAGACAGAACGATCTGTAGAAGATTAATATTAATTCGGAATTCTACTCTACCTCTTATTATCCGGAATGATAATAATTTATTAAAATATCTATTTAATGATATAAAATCGATTATCGTGCATCGAAATTTTACCTCAATATGTATGCATTACAATAACATATTTACATATGTCAACGTTATAATGTCTGTATTATTGTAGTACAGTATAATAACTGATGAGGCAATTATGCATCAGAAAAAGCAACGTACACTACTTTTTTTCGCAATGATATGTCTTTTCTCTACAAAAGGTGTCTCTTTGCCAATTAGAATTTATACATTTAAAATAAAATCACATGTAAATAAAGTGTACAATATTGATGCGGTTTATATACTCGCATAATCTTTATACGGTCAATGAATCACAGACAAAGATCATATACCAAGAAGATATCCGACATAAATTTGAGTATCAACGCATTGCTCTAGCGAGCAATTTATACAGGATTTGCACAAATCCTAGTATAAAATGTGATTTACGATATCTATTACGCGCGTGTGTAATTTATCGCGCCGATTTACAATTGCCGAGTCGTCACATGGATATTTAATCTCGGATTTGCGTGTGTTCTAGCCTTTGTCCCCCTTCCTTTTTTTATATAACAAATCGCTATCGGAAAATGATATACCCTATGCTTTGTTCGCGCGGGCACTCTCGGGCGGAATATCGAACGATACTCGATCCCTGGCTTTCGCCTTATGGGAAAACCGCGGCCCGAGCCGCGTCTCGACTGAGATAGCGGCGACGCGACTATGTAATCTCGCGCGTTTCATCATCGCGATGGTAGCTGCATTGTGAGAATGCACCGAACTCTCGCAAATTCCAAAAGGTTACCCACTTGTAATCGGCCGCCCACTGTCTACGAACGAATAAGAAATGGGTCGAGCGACAGGCCGCGGAAAGCCGAGGAGAGCCGTACGGCGTTTTCACGATAGACACGCGAATGTGCATTGTGCATCAGAGCACAGACGTTAATTACTATGCGTTGACAATAGTGAGCGATAATCGATCGCAAATTAGCGGGCCTCCGTAATAGCCGCATTACTCGCAGGCGGTACAAGTTGACGAGCAATTGCAATCGTGGGAAGATACTGTCCCAATTAGCGCTTGAGTTTCTAAGATTTGCTTAACGATATTGTGCAGCAAGCACAATTATGGAAGAATTACAGAAATAATTTGCTAAAATTATGATCACGATTATTACGTCATGCTAATTTAAATTCCTTCTCTAATAATATATGAATAAGATTTAGACACTATGTATAATGAAAAAAAAATGAAAGAAGATGAAGATAATTTAGGACATTTAAATGAATGAGATATTTTAAATTAATGACAATATGATCTTGTTCCGTTTTCAAATTATTTTATTGATTTTAAATCTTACATGTTATGTCTCATATTCTTAGAAGTTTTTATTTAATTATACGCATTTATATTTTTAATGTAGATACATTTTAATGTAACAATAAAATTATACTAATAAAATAAATATTTTAATTCATTACTTGCCTATAAGATAATACATCTGAATAATTTTACTTAAATCTGAGATGAGATAACATTTAATATTAAAGCTATGTAAACTAATGAGGTAGATAAGTTTTAACGTAAAACAACTGGAAGGACTGACTTTCCCTCTATACAACTTTGCTTTAGAAAAAATTAAATACATAATGCATCTTGCATTCAATAAAGAGATTTCTTGAATGTTCTAAAATTTGCAAAAATTCAGTATTTTTCAAGAGAATACATTGTAGTTTTTAAAATATTTCCTTCCGAATGAAACTTATAAATTACATAAAATTAATTTATTATATTTAAAGAATTTGAAATAATCTTATTTTATTAAATATTTATAAACAGACTTCAACGTATATCGTATTTGATACTTGAATGAATATAAGTAATTAAAACATCACTAAATAACCAAAATTATAATATACCGAGTTGGGAGCTGAGAAAGAAAGGTAAGGCAAACTAGTTCGCGTAATTTGCACGTAGTTTGAATAGATCGTCATACGTATCGACTATACGTCTAGCAACCCTGACAAAACGTCATTGTACTCACGTTTTCTGCGAGACGCATTTATAAGGGTTTGAAAACGACGGGTGCCACGTGTGAATTCGTCTTTGTTGCCGCCATAAATCACGAGTCTTGTCGCAGGTCAGAGTTACGACCGAGACCGATCGTCGTCAGCTACCGGATAGCCGGTAGCATTCCTGCGGAGATCGATCTGGAGAGAACATAAAGCAAGAAAGCCGGATTGTTTTCTCTTTGCAAACTCATTCTCCTTCTCTCTCTCCCTTCCATTTTTTATTATACAACGACTAGGCGAAAATGACGCGAGGCGTGGCCGATAATAATGAGGCGAATAGGGTGTGCATAAAAAATCGTTAACGGGTTGAATCGCAGAGCTGCTGCTAGATCGCGCAAGGTCGATCGATAGATCCTTCGACAGTCGTAACGCAGATCCGCGAGTGACGCACTTCATTTCGAATGCCTACAGAGAGTCAAAAATAATATATTAATTTTTGCAGAACGCGAAATTAAATATTAATTGAATAAATATTTAGTATTTCCAAATTTTTAATTACTACAAATAATACATGCGTAGATTTATATATATATTTAATCGCGAGATTAAAATGTTTCACATGAAACATTTTAAAATCGAATTGCTGATGGTAAAAATCGTACGGATAACAATTAAGTGCAAAATTATTATTTGTAAAAACAACTTTTATTTATTGAAGTTTTTTGATAATGGATATTGCAATCAAGTAATTTTCGTAAGAGGCTTGTAGCGCGTAATAATTATTTTTGTAATTGCTGAGCGGAACAACGTTGCCACGTACATAGTTAAAAATATTAAAACGTTAATTCCACGCCATTTTTCATTACCAATTTAACGCGATTATATTCACAAAAATCTCAAATTTATTGTTAAAACAGTAAAGTAAATATATGTGTGTATATTTTTCTAGCGAAATTCTTTGAAAATGTGGAACATTTAAATCACGAGAAAATATATACTCACGTCAAGTATCTACCTAATGTACTATGGTATGTTACAACTGTTTTGTATTTTTCATGAAAATACGACTCACCTTGAATTGTAAATATTTCAAGCGCCAAGCGGTTGTGGAGGTCTCTTTACCGGAAAGTTCCGGGGCGGAAGTTACGCGGGATCATCGCCGCTTTGTCACATCTGGATCGCGTCGATATAATAGAATTTTCTTTTACTCTCGTTAATGCAACTGGTTGACCAGCGCCTAGCGTGTCGTCCGATGACGACGGAGACTATTGCGATTCGGTGCAGCGACTTTCCGCTAGCCATCACGAAGGAACATTGTCGTGCAAGTTGATGCTAAGTGAGCTTTTATAGCCCCGGAATACGGGGCGGATACATAGGATGGCGAACTTGCGACGGGATCAAGGTGGGGCTCCTTCGTTCTATACTCGCTTTGGACCCGTGTGACAACATTTGAAGAAAAAAAAAATAAAAAGAGAGAGAAAGAGAGAGAAGGGGGAAAGAAGGAAAGCTCGATCAATCGGATTGAAAATACACGCAACCTCGAACGGAGCCAGAAATCGCGACCGCGCCCAAACGAGTAGGGGTGAACAATGATTCAAGAAGTTGATTTTATCACCTTCGCGACTCGAGATGTTTATTGGCGATCCGAAGTCGCGATTGTGTTGGAGATGGAAGGGAAGGATCTCCTTGAATGATATTGTAAATTAGTTCTATAATAAACCGCACGGTATTTAATGCCATGGTAAAAATATAGCTGAAAATTGTGCGAAGAAATCAATAGAAAAAGTCGGTATGTAATGATGTTAAAATAATGATTGTTGAGATGTATTACTAAGAAGTAAAATAAAGTAAAAAGAAAATAGGTGTACTGCGCAGAGATATATTTGTAAAACAAAAAGGGGAAAAAAATGGCGATTTGACAGAACAGAATAGAGCAATCTATTGCATTTGGCAGACAAATAATTTGAACTCACGATCAATCAATCTGAATTTCGTGCACATTGAAAATTTTTACATTGAATACGATAGGCCATCACATTCTACAACGCTTGAAGTGGAACTCACTTGGCAATGTTCGATGATTGATGATGTACAAAGCTAAATATACAGCGATAGCAATCATCACCGTGATGAAAACGTGTAACATTGTAGCCCTGCTCGTCTGATGCATTAGCCGAATAATAATCCGTTAATGTACGCGATATGTACATGATATGTACGCCTGTAAGCAACTTTGATAATCCCTTTATGTCACGTTTGATGCTTTGTAATCATAAACCAGTTGAAAGCGATATCAGGATACATAGATATGTAGCCAAAAATCTACTCGGCCACTCGCATTTCAAATATGCTTTGATAACTAAGTAGAGTACTGTATGCCATTGTCAACAACATCGTTACAGTGACGTGCTTTATAGAATTAGTTTACAGATTATTCTATATGAGAATGATGCTCGTGATAATAGTTACAAAGGTAACGGTAGTTACAAAGGTTACAAAACTATAAATTTGATATGATGAAATATTAACAAATAAAACAAATAAAAATTCGAACGCTTTGACATATTTATCGATCATTAGACATCTCGTTTGATTAATAAAAAGTAAAATTGCATTCTAGAAAAGATACGTTGCTGGAATCTCGCCAAATTCTATGTGTGTAAAAATGATTTGGTAACCAAGAAACTTTGAAAATTATTGATATACGTTATATATAGAATATAATAATACGTTATATATATAATATAAGATACACAATGCACTTCCCGTCTTCTTGAGATGAAAGAAATTACAATGAAGAAAATTGACGAAATGTCCAAGTTAATAAACTTTATATTTGTCGTTTTTCACGTTCAGACACGTCAGATGCAGTTCTTTTGAACTTTCTGATTCAATAGACGGGATGACGATAGAAAAAGCGATAAAAGAGTTTCCGTATTGCTCAATCAACAGTCATCTTTGCGTTCGAGGCTGTGCATGACGTCTGATAATAGAGCTGCAAAGGATCCCTAGCACTGCGATCCTCTACCACGAACTTGATGGTATCGTCGCACCCGGACACGCACACTCGTATCCGACAACAATAGAGCCCTCATTCCTGGCGACAATCTGCAAAGCCCGGATGATGCGTAGGCAATGCAACCCATGCCTCGCTTAGACAAATGTGCGATACAACGCAATGGAATCGTTAATGGCAATAGACGCGTGCTCGCCTACGAACCGAGAGAAAGCAGGAAGAGGACATGCATAGGATACGTGAATCGTCTTTAGTCTCAAGGTCATTGATGACTGGATGCTCGCAATGAGTAGCCATGATCTTATCCTTTAATACTTCTCGAAAAACATTACGAAACGCATCTTGATATTAAATAATACATTTTATTTGATAGCCTCGTGTATATTTTTTTCACACAATGCTCTCATTATTATTTATAATATGTGTTTTTAAAACGACCAATAAAATAAACCAATAAGATAATGAAAAATAATAAAATTTTTAGAAATCAAAACACTAAATACCGTTGGTAAGAATCCTGCCATTCTCTTTTGAACAAGTTGATACAATGTCAATCACATTATACGCTAGCGAACTGTAGTACAGAAGTAAATATTATTCCAAGGCATCGATTTAGTCTATTGTTGTATGTCTATTGATTGCACGAGTAAACCGAGGCATAATGTAATGTACGAGACCATAAACGGATGCGTTGAAATGGAGCACGAGCGTGACCCTCGAGTAGACATAACTAGATTTGCGGCGAGGTGAAACGTTAGGTGTACTCTAATGTCACTAACACCGTGACTGACTTAATGCCGATAAATCAACGAAACATTGTCACCGTGCGTTTAACTCGCGAAGAATGTTTGGCGTGTCCTGTGCCCCGCCCTTGGGGTTGGCGGGAGCGTTGGGGGGCCCGTTCGAGGAAACAATGCCCCTATAAAAGCGTGGTGGACACCGGTCGACAGCAGCCACATCCACCTCAGCCATCGAGACAAATTTTATTATAGCTAGTAACCATCAATCGTTTCCCTCTTCGCCATGTGCACCCTGGTCGCGATTCTCTTCGTAGCGGCTCTGTCGGTGGCAACCGCGGCACCGTCAGGTTATTTGGGCCATGGTGCCGCACTAGCCGGACCGATTTTAGGGCCCGCGACCCTTACAGGTCCCGCGAACGGACCGTCCGCCCTTGCCGGGCCGGTGGTTGGACCCGCCCGCCTATCCGGAGCGGTCGACGGGGGTGCCGTCGTTACTGGTGCTGTGGCTGGACCGTCGATCGTTTCCGGTAGTGTTGCTGGACAAACGGCGATAGCTGGCCCGGCTCTTGGCTATGCGGCACCAGCTTTGGGATGGCCAGCTTATGGTAAGCAATAATAAATATTATTATTATAAGGTAATTAATAAACGTTATTATTATAGAAAAACGACAATGAATTTTAATAACGTAAGACAGATATTATTGATATTAAGCTTTCGTCGTTTCGAAAAGGTTTTATTTAAAAAATTTTTAAATATGAATTTTCAGTTTGGAATATAAAGAGATATTGTATGATACGAGCATGGTTTTGATAATTAATCGATCAATTACAAGGCATATATTATTTTACTAGAACATTATTTCAATATAACGTTGCCAACGTTTATTATTATGTAGTGAATCTATATTTCAATATAAATTTATTTTTTTTATTTTTACAAAAGTAATAAAATCTTCTTTGTTTCATT